GGTAGAGAGGCAGAGCAGGTCAGGATCGGGAAATCAGAAACACCAAGGAACTCTAAAAACACTTCTAAAACTGGCTATAGAGAAAAAGAATAAACTCGCGCTGATGACTGGATGCAAGCGCCTCAAATAGAGGCAGGAGCAGGTGGATCAGATGAGAGGTAATGAGCAACCGGGCAGAGTTAGACAGGTGAATGGAATGACTAATTAAGCCAGTCATTAGTGCCAATCATGACATTATGGGGAGATTATTCCCAGCATAAGGCAGGTGATATCTGTATTGTATCAACATTGTTTGTTGTCATGTGTTATTATGTTGGTTTTAATCCTGCTGTGTTACAGCCTCTACTGAAGGAACTTTTATTTAAACAGTTTTGGATTGCTAATTTTAGGCTAATATCACGGCTGCCTTTTATTTCTACCATTGAAGAAATCTGCTGCTTATCTAATTCATGGAGTTCCCCAGGGGTTAATCTTCACTCCCCTAAATGTGTCCTTTTACTAGTTCTTCTGGATTCGATTTTCTTTTATTGCTATAACTAAAAATAAATCAAGACTTCCTGTCAAATTAGTTCTGTTGTGCCTTAATATCATCAAAACATAGATAGCCTTAGACTTTTTAAATATTCACAATAAAAAGAGTAGTGTCCATTTTCCATAGCAGCCAATCCCCTTTATTGATTGATTTCTCTAAAAACTCCCCTAAAAATGCATCTTTATTTCTTGGCTTTTGGCACAACCTGAGATTTTTGTTTTCTACTGTTGTATTATTTCATTGATTTCCTTGATTTTTAATGCTTTGTTCTTTGTTTTTGCATTAAACATTTTTTATCTTACATGCGCAGCACTAAATAACTATAGAAATATAAAACAATAAGATAGATCTGTACATTAAGGTCAGGATGTATAAGAGCTGTCGGTTCCCTTGATTGGCATCAACACTAAGAAATCTACTGCTTCGGTCCATGTGAATGAGTCCAGGAATGCCCAACAATAACAACAGAGGAACCTTACTGTCTAAACCGTGTGTCATTTTTCTGTTTGTGACGTTTGAAACCTTGACCGATGCTTTTTGTGAAGAATATAGACAAATTTACCATGTGCTTGAATTGTAAGAGAAAGCAAGTTGTTCATAGTTCAGATACTAAATCCTTTGCTGCTCATCTGTCTCACAGGGTTCCCACAGGGATAAATCTTTGGTCCCCTCCATTTGTTTTCCTTTATCTATATTCTTCCTTGCTATTTTCAAGACAGTCAGATATAAATGAATAAACAGTGCTGCTCTTTACACTAGTTTAATTTTTACCGTGCTTAAACTGTGTTTTGCATGTCTATGTTATCTGTTCTCTTCTTCAATAAAGTTTCATATAAAAGAACCAAACAGAATCTAATCTCTCTTTCTCTCTCTCCCTCTTTTTCTCCCTGTCTCTCTCTCTCTCTCTCTATATATATATATATATATATATATATGGATATATATATAGGCATAATATGGTCAAACTGACCTTTTAAAGTGCTTTAAATCCTGTGTTTCTAGCTCAATTCAATTTCAATTCAGTTTATTTCTATAGATCCAATTCACATCATGTCATCTCAAGGAACTTTCCAGTTCACCAGATCATCCAGTCAGATTGATTCAAAGTTTTCTATCCAAGGAAAACCAGTTCATTGCATCGACTCATTGACTCTTCAGCAATCCCTCACACTAAGCATGCTTGTAGCGACGGTGGAGAGGAAAAAATCCCTTTGAACAGGAAGAAACCTCCAGCAGAACCAGGCTAACACAACAATACACAGACGCCATTATTGGAAACTCTTCTCATTGTCATTCTTCAGTTATTCAATGACAAAAGACACAAATTTGTACTTGATGGACTGAAAAGAGATTTATTTGAGGTAGTTTTCATCAGATAGAAACTGGACATGATTGAAAGTCACTTTAAAGCAGCAATACTAATAAAACTCAGTCAAACTGCCCTCATTTAGAAAAAAAATCTTAAAAAATATTTTTAAATATTCATTTTTTGCCAACTAAGGAGAACAATATTAAACAGGTGGGAAAAATAGCTCACAGACGTAATGAACAAATTTCAAGTGTTCAGTCATTCTCATCTTGTCAGGTTTAGTAAATTCTCATCAGAGCGAAAACAACTTGATAAAGGAAACACATCTTTGAACATCCAACTAAAACTCACAAACATTTTGGTGAAGTGGGAAGGAAAAGTATAACAACACAAATATCCTTCACATTGTTTTTTTAACATATCAACCCCACAATAAAGAAAACATTTTAACAAGTAGAATGTCCAAAACTTTAATTCAATGATAGGACTGAAGCCATAGTCTGGTGTTATTTTAGAAAAGGAAAGTATGGAAATCTGACCAAGATCTGAGTTTATCTACTAGACTGTTCTTATTGGAGTGCACAGTTATATGCCGTCAGAAACTGAATTTGAATTGCTCAGGCTGAATTTGTCTCCAACGTAATTTGAAATTAAATCCTTTAGTTTGACATTGAGTTTCAATAAACGGAGAAAATAATGGCTTAAAAATGACTTCATTTGCTTTCAAAATGTTTTGTTCTGTATTGAAAATCCAATTTGCATTATTTTTTTTTTTTTTAACAGATTCAGTTTTATAATTCAATTTCACTTCACAAAATCGTGTTTTCTTGTCTTGGACAACCAGAGTTGTCAACAGAGATGGCAAAAGTACTCACTTTCCATACTTGAGTAAAAGTACAGATACTTGTGTTAAAAAATACTCTGGTAAAAGTGGAAGTACTGATTAAACTTCTTTACTCAAGTAAAAGTAACAAAGTACAGGCTTGTAAATTTACTTAAAGTATAAAAGTAAAAGTAGAAACCACTTTTTTCATGCCGTTGCCTACATTTTAAATGGATGTCTGCCAATAGGACTAGATCTCCGTTGTGTTCATTTTCAATCATCTCGTCGTCCATGCTACTATGCTAACGCCACCGCCACCAAGCTGCAATGATTTGCCGCCAATGAATACCGCCGAATCTGTCGATTCATCTTGTAGTGGTGCGTCAAATGCAACGTAGATTCCCATCCAATTAGATTGAATTTGGTATTGATGACGTGAAAAATAACGATAACTCCATTGAAATGATTCAAAACTAAAGTAACGAGACAATTTTTAAAAATGTAAGCAGTAGAAAGTACAGATATTTGTGTAACAATGTAAGGAGTAGAAGTAAAAAGTCGCCATTAAAATAAGTAGTAAATTAAAGTAAAAATATCAGAAAAATCTACTTGAGTACAGTAACGAAGTATTTGTACTTCGTTACTTCCCATCTCTGGTTGTCAACCGGAGTAATCAATCACAGATACGTGGATTGACATGTTCCCATTATGCTAAATTTATAATTCATAGCTGAAGCGCTGAAGCGTTCATGAGCTTGGTGGGTCACTTACCATGTCAAACTTATCAAAGGGGAAATGCTGAAGGGCATAACACCGGTGGCACTATGCTAATTTAGCATCTTTAGCTAATTCAATTCAATTCAGTTTAATTCTATAGCGCCAATTCACATCATGTCATCTCAAGGCACTTTACAGTTCACCACATCATCCAGTCAGATTGATTAAAAGTTTTCTATCTAAGGAAAACCAGCTGATTGCATCGACTAATTGACTTGAAGGCAATCCGTCACAATAAGCATGTTTGTAGCGACAGTGGAGAGGAAAAACTCCCTTTTAACAGAAAGAAACCTCCAGCAGAACCAGGCTCAGTGTGAGCGGCCATCTGCCTCATAGCCGCAGCTGTTAGTTAGCCCAAACTAAGGGCTTAGATTTGGGCCTGCCATTGAGGGGGTTAAGCTCTCCGTCTATTGATTTATTGAATCATTTTGTTTTGTAATAGTCAGGCTAACTGTTCACAGTCCTGGAAAGAAGTGCAAATTAAGACTCCTCCATTTCAGGCAAAATGCCAGTCAGCCTCAGCCTGTGAGCATAGTTGGGAAGTTGTTTTGTCTCGTGTTTCATTTGACTCATTATCAGGTTGTTGGTAGAGCAGGCAGTCATAATATGGAATAAAATAGAAAAGCAATGTTTGTTTTCAAGATGGACATATAACAGGATTTTCTAAACTTACTTGTACTTCTAAATGTTTTCTCTTTTATAAGATAGTAGCTTATTTATTAATAATCCTGGGCTTCAGCCCGAAAGCCACAGACAGCAGGCTTAACCAAAACCAGGAGCAAAGATGTTACTCTCTGCTAAAAGACCCAATTTCCTAATTCCCTAACTTGTCCAGATTTTAATCTAGGTTTAGTTTTTCTTCTAAAGTTGGATTTTAATGCTGCATCTCATTAAATTGTTTACTCTATTATTCACCTTCATTAGTTGCATCCATCCTTGTGGTTTGTTGTTCAATTTCAGGAGGAAACTTAACTATAAAACATAATGCCAATATAGGAAAACGCTATTTTCAATGCAACAGATTTATATAAGTAATTGAAAATTATTTCGGTTTTTCAATTTAGTGAAATTCACTGTCAAATTAATGCTTTTAATTTGAAATGACATAAATACAGATTCAGTTGGATCATCTCAACTTCAGTTTCTGATGGTACACAGCCCACAGCTGCCTAAACAGTCTGAAAAACTTATTTGGTATGTATCTTAAATAACTTTATTAATTGTGAAATTATACTAAAATAAAGGGGGGTGAATTTCAGCTATAATTAACTATATCTGAAATTTAATCACAGTGAACTCCTTTATCTCTTTCTTAGTTTCTAGATCTGCCAGCTAAGATGAAACAACATAAAAATAATTGTAGACCATTGGATTTATTGACTAATGGAAATAAAAAAGCTATTATTTAAAGTCCAGAAATTTCTTCTTTTATTCAACAAATTAGACAGTATTACAGTCATTGAAAAACTATGTTTTAAAAATAAATTCTATCATCTTAAATAACCCCATTCCCTGTTAACCCTTTCAATTCTCATCATTACTTCATCATTTTAATCAAGAGGTTGGTATTTTAATTTAAGGCTTTGAAACTTGCTCTATAGTCTATATAGTGAGCTTTAACTTATATATTTGTATATGTTGCATAAAGTGAAAGTAAACTTTGACTTTAAAGACATTGTGATAATTGACTAAGTTTGCTTTAGATTATCATTATTCCAAAATTCCTTTTTGCATCTGAGATCCGCAGGCCTACCATTAGGTCTAGTGTAGGATGAGCTGTTGAGACTTCCTTTTTTGACACTAACATAACAAAAAGATTGAATAAAAAAATCATAAATGGAAGATTAATAACAGTTTCTCCTTCATGTAACAAAATAACAAAATACAAACTCTTTGAGGGCTTAAATGGCTGCTATTATTGCCCTGGATTTGTTGTAGGATCTATAAGAACGGAAACAGTGATAAAAAGTCTTGGTGATCAGCCACGTGCAGACTATGACTCAGAGCTCGGAGACGCTCCCGGTGATGTGGACAGTGAAGAGTGGTCCGTGTCCTCCAGCTCCTTGGTAAACCCACACCGGGTGTCAGATGAGTGGGAGCGCGCACTCGTGCCCGTGCTCTCCCGCTCCCGTTTCTTCTGCTTCATCCGTCTGTTCTGGAACCAGATCTTTACCTGGGTCTCGTTCAGTTCGAGCGTTGCCGCGATCTCCACGCGCCGCGCGCGCGTGAGGTACTTGCTGAAGTGGAACTCCTTCTCCAGCTCCGTCAGCTGCCGCGTGCTGAAATTGGTGCGCATGGCGTTATTGTGGACTCCTAGGAGCCCAAAGTCCGTCGCTTTGACTGAGAACAAAGAGAAAACACGTCATACATCAGTTAAATGAATTTATTTGATCAAATCAACCTGTAATAAAATAAGAAATTACATGTAAAATTGTAGAAAACCGTATTTAATGTGTCACTTTTGCTGTATATTAATTATTTCAATTCAATAAAAAATTTTAAACGTTCATCTTTGTGTAAAATATTCTGGACGTTTCCTCAGATCTTTGTGGATTCTTCCTCCTAACTGCATACATATGAAAACACAAAGCAGTTGGCTGAGAGGCTGGGGCAGGGGACTTTGTTTTAACAGATAACAGAGCAGGACTTCCCATGGAGAAATAACCCGTCTGTTAGATCCATTTGAGAAAGAGAGGATCAGGTGTCGGGAACCACAGTGGCGTCAGAGCAATTGTTAATGGTTAAAGGTTTGAGGGGAAAAAACAACAACAAATTCTAAGGTGCAATTAGGCAGGGGGGTTAAGTTTCTCTCTTTATATATATATATATATATATATATATATATATATATATATATATATATATATATATATATATATATATATATATATATATATATATATATATATATATATATATATATATATCCTGGGTGAATGAATAAACCAAATGAATAAATTGTCACCTGTTTTCGGGGGGTTCCTCTTCACTTTCATCCAGTCAAATGTCTGCCCCTGTCCCGCCTGCTGGTTCTCCTCATCCTCCCTCCCTCGCTCCTGGGACCCCGGCAGCTCTCCGTACCCTGCTGCCTGTGGGAAGCCCAGGTAGCCCACCGCTTCCAGGCCTGCGCCGATCTGCTGCGGGTACTGGGAGCTACCCAGAGGGCCCTGAGGCCCGCAGTAAGCCCCGGAAAGGGCGCTGTAGCTGGGGCCGACCGCTGGGGTCGGCGTGGGAAAGGCTGATTGATGGTAGTAGCTGGAGGCAGCGGACTCCTCCATAAAATACTGAGGCTGGATAGAAGTTGAAGGACCCGTAACGGCTACATACTCTGAGTTTGTAGCACCTGCCTGGCCTGCATAGGCCCCGGAGGAGCACCCACTGCCGTTAGTATACTGTGTCAATAATCCACCCTGCGCGCTTTGGTTCTGGTGATGATGGAAGCCATTATGCGCGTGTTGATGCTCGACATGATTTATTGGATGCTGATGATGATGATGGTGGAGGTTCACCCCTCTGGATGGTGGTGTCCCTCCAATGTCCGCCGCGGTGTTCCCATACATCCCTCCATCTGCGCCGTAACCGCTGTTACCTCCGGTCCCGTTCACCGGGACAGAGGAGCCGCTGAGGCCCGTGTGGAGGGAGCCGGGGGTCACCGTGAGTCCATGGTGCTGGTCCAGAGGGAGGTGGTGGTGCAGGTTAGGAGGTTGGTATCCAGGTTTAGGGGCAGAGTAAGCACTGCTGCCAGCTCGGTTACAGATGGAGTATTCCACAAAAGAGTTCATGTTGTCCATGAACATATAAAGTTCTTCTGACTTCTCAGAAACACAGGACCACAAAAAGGAAAAACAATTATATTATGGGAAAAACTGAAGGAATCAAATTAGTTAAAGAAAATGATTTCATATGGAGACATTCAGAGGAAGATCTGGAATAGGCTAAATGATTGGAGGAAAGTGACCAAATGAGTTCAAATCGACCAACGGGACAATGTAGGTTTATAAAAACGATCCCACTGGGATGAAAAAGTGAAACTGGCCCGTCCTGAACAACAGAAACACTCATGAATCATGTCATCCGCGGAGCTGTGAGTCAGGCTGCTGATGCGTTAACGGAGGCCCCGCTGTCACTCAGCCCGCAACTTCCAGAAGCTCCTCTGTGCCACCGCAGAACCACGCGAGAAGACGCGTCCCTCACTTCTGCGCCATTCTGTCCCCTTTTCCTGCAGCCTCTCCGCTTCTCCTCTTCCTGCTTCACTCTGTCAACCTCTTCTTTGTTTTACTTGTTTTCCACTTCTTTTCTTCTCCTCTACCTCAGTCGCGGGTCACGTGACATGTCGCCTATGGTGTCCAGGGCAGCAGTTGTCAGCTGGCCACAGGAGAGTGTGTGTTTGCGGGTGTGTGTGTTGGGGGGGTACAGGAGGTGTTTTTTTTCGGTTCAGAAGAAGTGGAGCTGCCGTGCGCGCGCGCGCGTTGGCTCTGGCGCACATGCCTCATCCATCACTCTCCGTGACATTAGCACGACAAAGAGGCTTCAATCAAACCGGCCCATCAATCTGATATCAGCGCGGATCTGTCAGAGCAAAGAGAGGGCCGCGGAATAAAAGAGGAGCTGTGAGCCGGTCTGCAGACCTCCTCCCAGCGAAAAGCTCCCACAACATCTGAGAAACCTAATAAAAAAAAGGACAAACTACAGTATTCCACTCAGCAGACAGAGGCTGAGGGATTCCTCAAAGTTTATGATTTGTTCCGATAATAGAGCACACTCTATGAAGTGTAGTTCTATAATAATCTAAATACCAAAGGTTTGTTCACTAAAATGTTGTGATGGAGATTAAACTAATGGCTGAAATTTGAACAGGAAGCCACAGATGCAGCTACTGAAGGTGAATAAAAGGGTAAATAATAGGCTTAAAATCCAACTTTACAATAAAAAAACACACTAGAGTAAAATCTGCACTCATAAAAATCAAACATTAACTTTAGTTTAAATATCTTTGTTAACAGGTTCCACAAAAGTGTTTCTATGTTAGTTAAATGCAAAAACGTTGATCTAACTTTAAGTTAACACAATGTGAATTGACCCAATTAGATACAATAAATTATGAGCAACACGGGATATTTACCTCTTACACCCTCAGGGGGTATAAATAAGTAAATCACTTATAGCCTCACAGCTATTAGATTTAAGAAGAAACTTTTGGTACGTCTGTAAAGGTAAGATGTCATAGAATGGTTTTCTGGTCAGCACCATTGTAGCTTTGACCCTGCCTGAACTATTAGGGACAAAATACAAAATATTTTGCATTTTTTGAACCTCGCCAAAATTTTCTTTGAAATAAACATTGCAAAACACTACCAAAATATTATTTATAGCACAAAAAAGTAGTACAGACTTTTAAATCTAAATGTTGTGTAAAAATATACCAAATTTGGTATCAATCAGATGAATCATATTTATTTTAGAATGGTATTAGTGAGAAATTTCTTAGGCGGAGAGGCCATTTTGGCACATTTATCCAAAAATGTCACCAAACTGTGCCAAATGTGTTTTTTACATCAATACTGGGGGTTTGTTAAAATTACGAGGTCACGTAGTAGCTGGACCCACCGGTGGGTCCACAGGGTTCTAGGGGTTAATCCAATCTAATTAAGTTATGTTGCATGGACATAAATAATATATTTACAGTTTTAATATTTAACATTTGTCCTTTAAACATGTATATATTAAATTTAAGTTCCATTCATTAAAAAAAATTTTCATCCCTTTTATTTTATACTAATTAGTGTGACCTAATTCTAGATTGTCAACAGACACACAAATGAATTTAGCACACCCAACATATTTTTGGAATCGCCTTTATTTAACAATAATAATTTGACATTTTGTTGCAGCTGGGTGGAAAATACAGCCTAAGAAATTAACCCTAACAGACACAGGATGCAGCTTGGCTCCACACCAACAGTTCTAAGCTGCCTTTATGCAGCCCAATACAACAGGCCTGCAGTTCTTCTTTTTGTAACAGCATAACCTATAACACATGTGCTGCTATCAACGTTTTATTTCTAATATTAAGGAGGGAATGCAAATATATTAACAAACATCTCAAATTGTGTTGCAGCATTATTACCCAACATAAAGCACCTTGATGCCGCATAAAAAGTAAATATTTCTGATTCATTAATACAGCAGGCTTGCAGTTCTCAGTTTTTCTGTAACAGCTTAAAAGCCAAACCATAACAATACATATACTACTGTCAGCTTATGACCGATAAATAACCTGAGATGCTAACATTACAGCTCTTTTTTTTTTTTTTTTTTAAGAAAAAAACATTTATTCAGTTGTAAACAATTTTGGTGCTGCATGGTTTCTAAATTAACTTTTTCAGTTACTCCAACCAGGGCTCCCACTTCTTTTTATAAAATACATTAAAATTCCTTAACTTGGGGGTTTTTCCATGGACAAGCTGGTGAATTAGTAAAATTACTACCAACATCTTATTTTTACATCCTTCACATCATTTCACATCATTCATCGACTGTCTCCAAAATTCTGAAAGCAGCAGCCTTTGGAAACCAGCTTCCTCTCTAGGAGTCCTTCTTAAAAACATTCTCAGTTTTAGTGGAGTTTGACCGAGTAAGAGTTACTTTTCTTCTTGTGTTTATGGTATTTTATTTGGTTGGAAAGAAACATGGTTAGTTATTAAACTAATAAATGATTCCACCATAAAAACAAATAGATAAATGTGTTTTTATTGCATTAATCTTTTGCAGGGGCAAAGTAGATGTCAGATAAGGAAGCTCTTCTCCTGTTACAGTCTGCAGTGACTAGGCAGCACTTTGGAAAACAGTCTAAAGGGTTTGCGTGAGACAAATATTTAGGGTAAAGTTAATCTAAACCAATCTGTCCTCGACTTTCATCCACGATGATCTTTGATGCACAACATTAAAATTGGTTTGCAAAGGACAGCCCAGTAGAAGGGTTACACATCTCTCGACTGCACAGCAGGACAAAAATCCAAGACTGCAAGTTTCCCCATTTCTGTTTAGATAAAATAATTGTGTCTCATTTCAGTCACTTTGTTAATATATGTTGTCTATGGCATCAGTTGACATAAAACGTTTAATTTCAGTCGCTTATTCTAATGAGAACAAGTACAGCGAGAGGTTAGAGGTAAGCGGGACATCAGCCCCACTCTATACGTCAGATCATCTGTAAAACTAGAAGACTGAAAGAGCCTTGATGGAAATAAAACCAATGAGTTTGCAGATGGATAAAATGTTTAAATCTTTATGCGCCGGGTGCTTTATCCAACAGGACTTCCATTTTAGACCATCCCGTCTGTTAACATCATGTTAAAAAGTGGATTATCCCTCCTCTAAATGGAGGCTTTATTTTGTTTTTTAATTAAATATTTGAGGTGAATGGACTGATCTCCAATACAGGATATAAAACCATCACGATATGAACTGACCGGCCAGATTTATACATGGCTGCTGGATGCTCATCTCCATTCGTTCTCCTAGAGTTTATTTTTTCTGTCCGTCTTTTGCATTTTCTCTTCAGTTCTTATCATCATGAATTGCTGTAAAGAGTTATTGATTGGACTTTATCTTCTTTTTGCACATTTCACCTGCAGGATGGAACAAATTGTCATGTGGACTCTGAGGCCCTTATTGATCTGAAAACCATCTCCAGGAAGCTTTGGGACTGAATTCATTGGGGCAGGCATGGATTTCTGATGGCCGCTCCGGTGTGAGCGTATGCTAATTGAATGAGCGAGCTGATCTGGTATGGCAATGAAGTTACGTTGGACAGCATGCCTTCTGGTTAGTCCAAGCCTGCCAGTAGAGCAGGACAGGAAGCTAATGCAACAATACGCATACTGTCTGTGGAGGCACGGTCTGAAAGGCACTGCCGGACTGGATGCATGTGTTTTATTAGAAGGTTTTCCAGACTAAAATCTTCCGATAGTTGCTAAAATCTTCCCAGATTAGTTTAAAATGTTGTGTTATTGTTTTAATGAATATTCTGGGAATCTATCCGAACTATTTGCATTCCAGTTTGGCTGTCTTTAATGAAGCCTTCATCAATTCCTGTCTGCGGAAGGCCTCCCTGAAGGGCATGACAGCAAACACGCTGCCGTCCCGCCACGGGGACAGAATTAGGACAAGCGCGTGGGCGAGTGACAAGAAGGGTGGTTAATCATCAGTGTGGCCTGAAAAGAGCGACGCAGGCTGAGTGGGCAGGAGGGCTGCAGGAACAGACCTAAATGAGAAGAAGATTAAACGACCCTCATCTTCCTGCCTGAGTGCCGAAGGTACAGCAGGACGCAAAGGTCATGGGGTCAAAAGTTTGACATTAGGGGGGGGGTGGATTTGGTTTGCTGAGAAGCTCTGAAGATACTCTCATCTCACCCTCAGTTTAATTATGTGCGATCAAGGATTTATTTTTATCCATTTTCCATCCCCGCTTTCACTTGTAGAAGATGGAATCTCTAAGCTTTTATTTTCACAGTTTGAAACATCTGACACCTCATGTGTTAAAAGAAAAGTCGCTCATATTCAGAATTCAAACTTCTGAAAGTTCTTTAAATATGAAATGATTCCATCCTGTTCAATAAATGATCAGTGTTTTTAATTCAGAGTAATTTTCATGTGAATGTGCTTTACTGGAGGCATCCATGTTTGCCAAAGAACACTACTGCCACCTACTGGTTAGTGACGTCACGGTGCGGTATCGGCTGTTGATCAAGTCCCAGTGCTGTATCTGGTGTTAGTCACAACGCGCTATTATCCAAGTCATCTTGAAAACATTCTTCTTCCAAATGTTGGC